GGAACGGAGGTGGCAGGGCAGGGGTTGGAGTTTATAGGGACACGGTTCCTTCGCCATCGGTAGGTGTTTTAAAATCAGCCCTGGGAGGCAGGCACGCGAATCCTCATTTTACAGACAAGGAAACTGAGGCTCGCAAGTTGAGTGCCTTGCCCAAGATCACGCAGCAAGCGGCTCCCATGTCTGCCGGTCGCCAGGAAGGAGGCTCCCCAAAGTCTGAGAGCTTGGCCCAGAGCCCGCCCCCAGACTCCAGCACTTGGGTGTCTCCAGACCGGCCTTATAAGCCCAAAGGCCGGGTGTCCAGCTTGGGCACCGGCCAGGCCTTGTAGGGAGACAAGGCTGTGCTGCCAAGCGCTCGGCCCCAGGACAGCCGCCCCTGCCTGGCTAAATTTAGCGGCCCTGCAGAGCGTGGACGGGGCCGTGTGCCCATCTTGGAGGCTGGCCCGGGCCCTCAGGGGGTCAGCACAGGCTCCAACGGGTCTCCTTAGCCATTGAGAGTCCCACGGCTGCAGGGGCCACACCTCTGCCCGCAGAGTTCAGTCCAACCCCCCACCCCACCCAATGCCACAGCCCCTCAGGTGCCGGCCGGAGCAGGGCCCTGAGCCGGCCTAACAGAGACTGCAGAGGGGCGGTGGGGGCGTGGGCAGCTGTGGCGTGGCTGCAGCGGGGGTCCCCAAGGGTGACTTCTCCCCATTGCCCAGACCTTGTACTGCTTCTCTGGCTTCCTTTATGCCCCACTATGATCAGGGCCAGCTGGAGCCTCTCCCCCTAAGTATCTGAGGCATCACCTCCCCTCCCCCATAATGCTCCTCCTCTTGGGCTATTTCCTCTTGGTCCCCAGCCTCTTCCTGCCCCTGGATGTGGGGTTCCTCACGGCCCCTCAAACACTGAGCTCCCTTGGAAGGTCGGTGGCCTCCCCGTTTACCGAGGATGCCAACTCCCCTGCACCCGCATGGCAGCTGCGTGCCTCCCCCACCTCCTCTGGCTCCTCTTGTTTTTTCTTCCAAATCAAACTACATCGAGGGCTACTTCACATGGGATTTAAAAGTGCGCATTTCAGGCCCAGGCCCATGAGTTTTGACAAATGCACGTG